CAGATAGCGGAAAATGCTAGTTCCTATCCCGTCTAGAACCTGGACCTAGTGGTATTATGCGAGTAATATTTTGTTTAAATTTAAATACTGATAAGCATGTCATAAACGTAGTGTGGGACGCCCTGAGACAAGATGGGATGATGACATTCGTAGGCTGGCTGGCATGGGCTGGATGAGAGTGGCAGAAAATCGGGAGCAGTGGCGTGCATTAGGGGAGACCTATATCCAGCAGTGGACGAGCATGGGTCGATGATGACGATGATGATGAAGCATGTCATTGCATCACGAGCCGCAGTCTTTTTATTGGGCAGATAAATGATGTAGGGTCTTCTTGATTCAACTAAATTCAACCATCTTTATACCTACCAATAATTATTTATCAAACTCTCTTTAGCGACTATGTGGAAACGTACCGATGGAAATAAGTACTAACGCATTATAATATCAATAAGTGGCATGAATACGGAACTTTAAATGCGAAATTCATTAAAATATGACTATGAAAAAAGGTTTTATAGCTCAAACATTATTAAATGAAATTCCCAACTTTTGTATTACGTATTTAACAGTATTAAATCTGCGTTAAAAAGTTTTTACAGCGATACTCCAGTAAAACGCCCGCTTTGTAGGAAAATTTCACCCCGTGAAAGATTTCACTAAATAAAATTAGAATGTTTATTTTCAGTACGTACTCTCGTCATAATTTACTCTCGCGGATTCCGCGGACCGTAAATGAAAACGCACCTTGCATATTTTCACAAGAAATCTGTGGGTAGTATGAAAACCGATTATCGTTCGGAACCCGACGTTGTATTATTCTTCCACTTTTATTTGTAATGTCCTGACGAAAGTATAATTACTTGATTTTTTTATATATTCTTTTATTATAGCTTTTTTCTTCTCTTTGTTCTTGGTGCTTGAACATTATATTATTCCTGTATTTTCAAAAGTAAGTTTTGATTTTAAATTATTATTGTAAAATACTATTTTATTTGCTGAGACAATTGTGATTATAACTAGGCATTGGTTTAAACCAACCAGTACTGTCGCATGTTTGTCAATAATATTGTTTACAGATGCAGTGTTAAATATTAGTCGTCATTTACTTAGTAACCTATTTTATTTTTAGTTTATTGAACGACTAAAAGTAAATTGCCGCTTACCTTAATATAAAAAAAAAATTTTTTTTTTCAGGCATGTTGCATGATGACCTATAAATCTACACAAGGTAATTTCCGCAAACCAAACAAAAATAATAATGAAAAATATGAACAAATCAAAGATACATCACAAGAATCGCAAAACAATAAAAAGAAATACAAATCGAGAAAGAAAACAATGAAGAAAACATTTGCCCCACAAGTAGAAACGCCGTCGTCATCGAACGTCGGCGTTGTTAGAAGTCAAACCCATCAGGAAGTAGCCAGGACCACAACTGCAGCTACAACTACAGTTACAGCTTCCACTTCAGATGCGCCAACTGTGCCTCTGATACCTGTTAGGCCGCGTATGATACCCGTCCCTGCTATAAGAACTTACTGTACATATGGAAACCCACATGTCAATTACGTCTGTTCTCAAGGATGGAATCGAATAATGACAGAAATTCATATAAACAATCCCTCGTACAATATGGCATATTATGGCATGCCCGTCCCTGTATACAACCCAACACCTGTGCTAACTGCACCAATGTACGTACCTGCAGGTCATATGATACCAGCACCAATGGTGCCACTACCTTATATGCCACCTATGATACCACATATGCCACCGCCAGTAGCATATCATATTGAAGAATTGCCGTCGACATCAAATGATACAAGTGAAAATGAAATGATCGAATTCGTCGATTCATCGAATGATACAAGTGAAAATACAGTGATAACTAAAAAAACAGCTGAGCAAATTGTTCCAGCTCTAGATGTGACAAGTGATTCCTCGGTACCTACTGAAGCGAATCTAAGTGCTGATGCTTTAATGTACGATACATCAACATCAACAGAAGAAACCCCACCAAACCCAACGGATCCTTTAGAAACCTACTTACTGCTGTCGAGAAAAAAGTTCCCCCCCGCTAATATGTTCTCTTTGGATCCGAATCCTATGATAGACCAACTATGCAGTTTGGTTAACTTACATTCTCACGTGCCGTGGTTGCTTGATTTGGAATTCGGCCTTCCAAAAGGTCCCATAACGCGGCCGATACCAATATATAATGTTGGATACAGTAGTATACATTGCAAGAATACCCCGAACGCTATACATCCGGGATTCGAGAGTTGCAGTGATAGTTTCAAAGAAATTTTGAGATTATATTACGAGTGCATAATATCAGTTTGGTACAATGCTTACATGAAATTATACCAGACTCGTTCCGTGGAAAGTTTCCAGGAATGGCTCATTTTAGGAATGCAAACATTCGGTATGTGTTGGCCCTGATGCATGTGCATGCTTAGATCATGCAAAAACAAATAATTATAATAATATATTAATATAAATAAGTTTTAAGTTATGAATGAAATTAATAATTTGCGTACATAAATTTTAATGCATTATAAATGTATTGTAGATAAGTTTTAATCCAATAATGAAATTTGGTATTACCTTACGATTTCCTGAATTAAATTTTTAAATTATTTTAATGCAACATCTATTTTTTATTCCTGTATTCACTTTCCTTATTATTAATATTTTATTGTTTCATTTTTTAATAAATATTTTTATTACTAATTATTTTAATAATACAGATTTTCTTTAAATATATTTAATTTGTGTGACACATACAAGAGGTCATTTTATTTATTAGCTTCTGCCCCTAACTTTGTCTTCGTTGACCTTTAAAATTTGGTCAAGATTTTTATTATTTGTATCGTTTAATAAAACGATACAAACAAGAATATCATGCAAAACGCCTGAACTTATTTAATGAAATAGTGTATTATTATTTTATAATACGTATTTATAATTATAAAAAAGTATTGACAGGAAACTATTTTTTTCTTAATTTTCTTCTTTAGGGCAGGAGAATGTCTATGTTCTGAACTTCAAGCAAACTGCTTAGTTTAGGTATCTACTATGCAGTATCTCTTAAGTATTTCAAGAGATTTTAATAAATTTTTAGGGTTCCGTAGTCCTGAAAATGAAAACCTTATGGTTTTGTCATGTCCGTCTATCTTTCCGTCCCCGATTTTGCTTGAACACTGTTAGCACTTGAGTGCTGTAATTTTATGGAAATATGTATCAATAACGCCGATAAAATGATAGAATAAAATTTTTAAAATATTTCTGTAGGGTAACTCCCCTACATGTAACCTGGGGATCTTTTTTTTCATCGTCTACCCCATCATGTGGAGTATCGTTGAATAGTTCCTTTAAAATTAATTAGGGGTTCCTCAGACTATTTTCCGATTATGTTATCCGTTTGCGAACTATTGAACTTTAAATTGCTAATTTTTGTTCGGAGTCCGGAGTACCCGAACCCCTTTTAAGAAAAAGTATACGGTTAAGATAGATTTCTTAGTTCAAGATTAATAGTCGTTCAACTACGGTTAAAGAAAATTTCTTACCTTTTGAAAATTCCTTAAGAGAAAACATCAATAGTGACATGGATGAAGTTATTGTAGCGTAATACCTTGCGTTGGAAAACAAAATCTAAAAAGAACTATTTAAAAATATATTTTTTAATTTCCGATACCGAAAATAAAGACTCCTTATAATTTTTATTATTTTTAAAGCATGTAACTGCTTGATGTTTAAATCTAAAGAAAATATAACTAGAAAAAATTCCACGCGGACCAGGCAGCAGACGGGACTCGAACCCGCACCCTTCGCAATCCGGGCGAATGCACTGACCAATTATGCTACCGCGGCCCTCACGGACCGCGTCGAAATTCTTTCTAACTATTCTTAAGCTGCAAGGCAGCGCCATCTCTTCGCATTATAGGTAAACCCACAATGTCAAATGAATACTTTTACAAGTATTAAACATTTGAAAGAAGAAATAGCAATTATAGTTATAATTTTTGTTATTTTTAAAGCATGTAACTGCTTGATGTTTAAATCTAATGAAAATATAACTAGAAAAAATTCCACGCGGACCAGGCAGCAGACGGGACTCGAACCCGCACCCTTCGCAATCCGGGCGAATGCACTGACCAATTATGCTACCGCGGCCCTCACGGACCGCGTCGAAATTCATTCTAGCTATTCTTAAGCTGCAAGGCAGCGCCATCTCTTCGCATTATAGGTAAACCCACAATGTCAAATGAATACTTTTACAAGTATTAAACATTTGAAAGAAGAAATAGCAATTATAGTTATAATTTTTATTATTTTTAAAGCATGTAACTGCTTGATGTTTAAAGCCTTGCAGCTTAAGAATAGCTAGAAAGAATTTCGACGCGGTCCGTGAGGGCCGCGGTAGCATAATTGGTCAGTGCATTCGCCCGGATTGCGAAGGGTGCGGGTTCGAGTCCCGTCTGCTGCCTGGTCCGCGTGGAATTTTTTCTAGTTATATTTTCTTTAGATAAAGACTCCTGCTCAAATATATTGTGGTAACGATAGTCAACTACGGAACCCTACACTGCGCGTGGCACGACACGTACTTTGCCGGTTTTCTATGTAAATACATATTGTGAAATAAAGTCGATTGGTAAATACTAAAATGCCAGCAATACTTTCTGTAATTCACTTTTGATAATCCAGAAGAAAATCTATTCAGAAAATTTTGCGTGATTGAGTATATTTTTTTCAGTCAATGGCATTAAAATCCATTTCATTTATATAGAATTGACCAAGCTAAGCTATATAACACTGACTTTACCTTATTGTCTTGACTTGGTCTTTTTCGTCCAAGATTCTACAGACAGATATCATTTGTGAAATATCTTTATAACCATGATTTTTATCTTAACTCAAATGAAATAGTTTTTGCACTTACGTATTGTAAGCCCAAAAATAACAAATCGTCGATGATGCAAGAATTAAAACGACAAACATTAATTATTATTTTAATATTTCATTTAAACAATATTAAATCAACGTCATCATAAACTATTCATTCAAACAAAATTATAATAGAATATAATAATCGACAAACATCACATAGGTGCCATAAATACAATAGCAATGCATAACTTGTGAGGTCTGGTAAATCTTTTTTAGCTTAAAGCGTCTAAATTAAATGAAAATCTATTAAAAATACATTTGAAACGCGATCGTAGTACGAATAACAGTTTTGTCATATTTACAAGCTATAAAAGTGGAAACAAAGTAATACTGTATACTTATAAATAATAATATAAAAATATGAAAAATATAAAAAAGGCAAGATAATACGTATACAGTGTATTTACATAAAAATGTTAGCTTAACTATTAACTAAAATCACTTAAGTAAGATTACATCGTTCTTTAAGTACACAGAATTATTTACATAAACATTTTTAGGTCACAAGCGCGGTAGGCAGAAAATCTTTAAGCCTAAAATCTCATTTAGAAAGGCGTTTACGAGTATTAGCTTTCGAAGCTACGTCGATAAGATTTTATACAGAATTTCTGCATAAAAATCTTGATGGTTAATTGAAAAAAAACGCCTCAGAAAACGTTGAATCCAATCAACATTTTTGAAGGTAACTTCACTGCACTTGCGCGTTCAGTTTCGTAATGTCTTTTCAGTCGTTTGTCTTCAACAACATGACTTGTTTCAATTAAAACACACCACTGAAAACTATGGTATCATTAATATTATGATAAATTTGTATGGTAAACACAACAGTCAATTTCGTTTCGTCCAAATTTTAGGAATTCACTGTCTGTAGAATCCAAGGCACAAACTTGGATATTCTTGTGCAGACTCCGGGTAAATTCGCTTCGCCGCAACCGATGCCCCAGCTAATGATGCCGGCTAGGAAGTACTTTTGGTCTTTCCCTTTTACCTGAAACAATACAAAAGTTTTTAACTGGTTCACTTTCATTGCTTAACAAGCTTAACTACTGTTTTTAAACTTCGAATCCAGATTTCAGTGCTCAGACTTAATGAATTGTATTCAAACAACAAGTTGGTTACTAGTTTTATTATTAAAGTCAAAATATTATTTAAATAACTATTAACAACCTCGCTGTTAGTTGGAATTTGCAATCTGGAATCTAGTTTGGTATCACAGCAATGTAATTGTGATTTACCCTTATTTATTGCTTTAATAAAATAATAAATAAATATTTCCAACACTCACACCAATTAGCCTAGCCCCAAAGTAAGCACTGTAAAGGCTTGTGTTATGGGATACTAGGGTAACGGATAGAATACATATATTGTACATATATAAGTATATTTATATGAAATACATATTAAACATCCATGACTGGAGTACAAATGCTCGTATTCATCACACAAACATCTGCCCCCACCGGGATTCGAACCCGGGAACCTCTCGAGTCGGCGACGCCATGAAACCCGGCGTATAAACCACTCGGCCACGGAGGTCGTCTTTAATTTAGATGTGTTATGGTAGACGTATTGCAGAATTTTATTAGATGTAAATAATCGATATTTATACGAAGCAAATTTCACTTTCATTATAAAACAAAATTTTATAATTGAAGGTATTAACTACTACTACTATATCAAGATTATCGTCTCCCGACCTCAAATATTTGACAAATATTTGTTTGTTTCCATTTTACCTGTAGCGGCTCACCCGAGTCTCTCAGGCACGCACTGAGACATATTCCTGACGCACAGGAATATGTCCGAGATGAGCTCGTGTCGATCCAGCTTTCTATAATAATGTTTTCAGTTTATACCTATAAACCTGCAGCAATTAGCCCGAGTCTCCTCTGCGGGACAGGGAATGTGTCCGGGATGAACTCCTCCCGGGCCGCCTGCATTAACATCGACTTGCACCAATCGTTAGACCATTTTACCTAGTTATTTCTCAATATCAACGCCTCTTCTTCAGGACTCAAATATTCGTTTGTTTCTAGTTCACCTGTAGCGGCCCAGTCATCAGTAATTTCTCAAGATTATCGCCTCAAATAAATCTTTGTTTCTAGGGCCTGTAACGGCTCGCCCGAGTCTCCCTGACAGAAGTCGTTACCTCCCTGCTCATGTTCGGCGCACATGAATATGATCGAGATGAACCATCGACTTGCACCACTCGTTAGACCACTTTGGCGGTTAACGGTAACTCTGCTCAATTTTAGAGAGATACTTTCCTTCCAGCCAAAATTATTTGTTAATATTTGTTTGTTTCCAGTTTACCTGTAGCGGTCCACCCGAGTCTCCCTGGCAGGAGTCATGACCTCCCCGCTCGTGTCCGGCGCACAAGAATATGTCCGGGATGAACCATCGACTTGCACCACTCCTTAGACCACTTTGCCGGTTAATGGTAATTCTGCTCCATATTACAGAAAACCTCTCCTTCCAGCCACAATTATTTACTAAATATTTGTTTATTTCCAGTTTACCTGTAGCGGTCCGCCAGAGTCTCCATGGCAGGAGTCATGACCTCCCTGCTCGTGTCCGGCGCACCGGCGTCCAGGATGAACCATCGAACTGCCCCATTCGTTAGACCACTTTGCCGGGTTATGGTAACTCTGCTCAATATTACAGAAAGCCTCTTCTTCCAGCCACAATTATTTGTTAAATATTTGTTTGTTTCCAGTTTACCTGTAGCGGTCCACCCGAGTCTCCCTGGCAGGAGTCATGACCTCCCCGCTCGTGTCCGGCGCACAAGAATATGTCCGGGATGAACTCGTGTCTCCCCGCTCGCAGGAACATCGACTTGCACCGCTCGTTCGACACTATTGGCACTTGTACCTGGAAATTTTAAATATGGAAATATGTATTTTTAAAATCTATAGAAGGTTTCGCTTACTACAATAAATTCTGACCGGTCCAAGTATCAGACAGGATTCAAACCTGCGCCTTTCGCTATCAGGGTTTACGCAGTAACCAACGACACTACCGAGACCTCTATGACTGAATTTCTCATAGTATTTCATGGGTTGAAAGGCAGCGCCGTCTCTTCTCATTGTAGGTGACCCACAAAGTGAAACGAGTTTACACAAGCATTAAAGGACAATGCCAGAAGTTCTATAGAGGTTTAACCCACCCGATAAAAATGGTGTACACCAATGCGATAAATGACATTTCATAGCTGTAATATTAGGAATCAAAACAGTAAAGTTGTAAATTCTCTAGAAGCTGTGGTTATTGAATAATATACTTACAAAGAGTACAATTATCATGCGTTTCTTGAGCTGCAATTTGAGCAGAAAATTGGAATTTCTATAAATTATTCAACAGTGTCCGTATTGTAGCTGATAGTGTATAAACGACATGCCTATGTATTCTATCGACACATAAATAACAATTTATGCATCTCAACATGGTTCCAAATCACAAACGACAATGTCGTACAAATCCTTTTGTTTGAAATGTCAATCAAAAGGATATCAATCCAGAATAACGTTTAGTTTCACATAGGTACTACCACTTAATAATGTGTATGCGCATAAACAATACAAGGTACTATAATCGTTAAACTTTTTTATAAACATAAATTAATTATATTTATAACCGAAATGCTTATTTTATCCATAATATTAAAAAAGCGAACGATATTTTTCGAAAACTTGACTGGCATTTTATTGTTTGTCGTGATACAAAACGCATATGCCATGTTTTCGTTCTTCTCCTAACGGAAACAATAGATACAAATTATTTTAATATTTATTTCGTATCCGCCGCTTTTACAAAGTAATAATTAAATCGGTACGAGAAAAAAAGTCGTATATTTATTTTTTATAAATTTAATATTACTGTATATGGTGGGTCAGAATCTGTCATTGTCATTTATTATTATCATATTGTTATTTTTAGCGATTAAAATGCTATGTTTATTAATCTGGGGTAATTTCCGCCACTGAACGACATCAGAAACCGCTCTGGTCGTAATTGGATAATACTTGGGTAAAGAGGAGTAAAGATGGAAAAATATAGAAGATGCTTATGTCCAAAAGCTGACTACGTAAATGGTAGCAATGGATGAATGGAGATAGATATAGTCTGTTGCCACGGATAAACAAAATTATATTACAGTTACACGTAAACACATTTTTATTTTTAACACTTGCACCAATTAGTCTAGCCCCGGACTAAGCACTGTAAAGCTTGTGTTATGGGATACTAGGGTAACGGATAGAATACATATACTGTACATATATTATATAGAAATGCATATTAAACATCCATGACTGGAGTACAAATGCTCGTATTCATCACACTAACATCTGTCCCCACCGGGATTTGAACCCGGGACCTCCCAAGTCGGTGACACCATGAAACCCGGCGTACAAACCACTCGGCCACGGAGGTCGTCATTTATAAGCAACGTAAACAAAAGCGGCCTTATCGTTAGATTATTTTACTTCTAATTAATTGTACCTCTGAGCGATATCTTTTACTCTGGTATCAAGAAGTTAGTTCCAACTCTTATTTGTTAATTTTGCAAAGGAAATGGTGATAGATACGAAACTCCATCTACCGTCACTTCAATAATTGCTAAAGTTTCATCAAAGCCATTACGTATTCACCTCTTGTAATACCGAAGGCAGCACTCCACCTTCGGATAGCCTTCCCCAACCAGTCACCGTGGCATTCTCCCCGACGAGCAAATCATCCGAAGCCGGCAGACAAATCGGTGATATGTGAGGCGCAAACTGAACTGGCGACTCCAATTTGACCAACGCTAAGTCGTATTCGTAGGTGAAGAAGTTGTATTTCGGATGGACCGCTTTGCGAGCGACTCCTCTCTCGACGAATGGGTATTGCTCCGATATCGAAGAGAAGTCGTATTCTCCAACACGTATTCTTATTTGTGAAGTGAGAAGACTGAAAAAGATAAAGAAAAAAAGTTATACATATATTATACAGCCTATCAAAATGAAAACTGGATTGAAACCCTTTTTTAATTTTCGATTTTTCGCTTTGGTAATTTGTTTTAATAGCTTTAAATTGGGTTTGTTGAAAAATGAAATGAAAGAATCTAAGTTATTACTTCAGAACTAGACACTTAAAATTTAAAAGTTATCATTTAAATCATTATATTTATATAAACAAACAATATTAGAAAAGGTAAAGAAAATTTTACTAGAATAAAATCCGCGGTATACTACCGCGGCCCTAAGCCTTAGTAGCGTAATGGTCAGTGCATCCGCCTGGATAGCGGAGGGTGTGGGTTCGAGTCCCGGCTGCTGCCTGGTCCGCGTGAAATTTTTTCTAGTAAAAAAATCTTTAGATGGAGACATCTTGCAGTTAAATACATAAAAAATAAAAATATAATTATTAGAAAAGATAACTAGAAAATTTTGAAGTAAAATATGAATCTTTTTAGAAAACCTGCAACAGTTATCTATCAGGCGTTAGATAAAACCTACTAACGGTATCGGATGGATGTAGCCAAAAGCGCTATTTTGCGCCTATTCCTAGATATTCATGAATTAAAGAGATTCAGAGGTTAATGGTTGCGCTAGTATGGCATTTTGAATTGACCGCGTAAAATTCATATAATCGCCCATCGCCTTATTTTAAATTTAATAGTTAAATTGGCACTTTACTCATTTCCTTTTCCCATCTCCCTCCTGCACATTCCTATCTCGCATGCAAGAGTGAGACGACGAATGTCCACTGGGGACATCTAGCGGGTGCTGTAGTTAACATCCTTCTTAGCAAATCCGCACCTTTTGTTAATGGCTGCCGTAAATCGCGCTCTTCGTAATTAATTCGTTTGATAAACAAAAACTATAGTTCGAGTGATTCTCATTGTGAAAATAGAAGTGCAAGACTACCCATTTGGTGTTACCCATAAGAATATCAACCGGCCACGAACCCAAGTTCGGTTTTGGATAGCCGGCTCGACACGTCCGCCTCAGGAGCTTCTGGACTGGCCGTTGATTCAAGGTATTGTGCAACCTTCCTTATTGATTTCGAACTATTTCCTTCAGTTCGAAATCTCCTTTCTTTGATTATTGTGCCAATTTTAAATTTACAGTCCATTATAAAAAACAAATATTTAGCATTAAAGTAAAGTTAAAAACCAGTTAAAGTAAAGTTCTTTGGCGCATTTAAATGATTATAAAATAATAGTAATTGATCTTTAGGTTATCAATTATATTTTTGGGGATAATTTTAAATATATACATTTTTTATTTTCAGAACTTTTTTTTAGTCTAAATAATAATAGCATCTCCAAACAATACAATGCCGTCCAAAGTTTAAAGAAGGCGTACTTCAGTCATACATGTAAAGATGTTTCGTTGCATACATATACTTGTACTATTCTTAAAGGCCTCATTTATAAAACTATATTTAAGTTTGAGTTCTCTTTACATTGGACAGTGCAAATAGTTTCTTTGTAACTTTAAGTTATGTCTAGATGTGAGAACCTGTTATTGACTCTTTGTCGCTACTATTAATTTTTAGTTTATTAAGATAAGCTGTTGGTCTTCCATGTTACCAAAATCATTAAAAAATACCTACCTACCTTTTTCGGAAACATTAGAAGGAAATATTTCTTGGAAGGACATGCTTAGTTAACAGCTAGAAATGGCAGATAATAGATCCTGATAGTAATATGAAACACGTGTAAGTTAGTTAGTGGTTTGCTTTTAGGTTTAAAAAAATAATTTTCTCGTGCGAACTTTTTCAGACAGTTCACTTAAAATGAGATACATTACATAATTTTTACATTGCATTTGATGGTAGAAATTGTTTGCCAACAAAAGTGCCAATCCGTGCACCGATTTCGAGAAGACGAGGAGACCACAACGTGGTCTTGAACCATACGTACCTTGACGGTAGTAAACAAATAAATATTTCCAACACTCACACCAAATAGCCTAGCCCCAAAGTAAGCACTGTAGGCTTGTGTTATGGGATACTAGCCTGGCTAGGGTAACGGACAGAATACATATGCTGATACATATATAAGTATATCTATATGGAAATGCATATTAAACAACCATGACTGGAGTACAAATGCTCGTAATTCATCACACGAACATCTACCCCCACCGGGATTCGAACCCGGGTCCTCTCGAGTAGGCGACACCTTGAAACCCGGCGTACAAACCACTCGATCACGGAGGACGGTAATAAACGATAGACGTGCTAGTGCTGTACAATATTTCAGCCCAAAATGCTAAATCTTGCAACTGAAAATTTGCCAATGATTGCCATAGTATTAGATAAAGATGATACGGCAATCAAGAAAAAGAAGAAGATTTTCTGTACATCCTATATGGCAAAAAAGAGAGAGGGAAGACGAATATCATACTGTTTAAAAAGAAAAAAAGAACTGTTAGACCATAAAACTCAGTTTTATACTTATTTCCGAATGACAAAAGAATATTTTGCAGTACTGGAAGAGAAGGTGTCTCCCTTTATAAAGAAAAAAGGTACAGTTAAGAAAAAAGCAAATTACTCTTCGCTAGCGACTAGCTGTGTGTTAAGGTATGATAATAACTAAAAAAATATTACTGATTAATTTATTATTATCATGCACGAATGTAGTATGTTTACTTATTTTCTTTATATTGTATTTATTTTTATTCATTGATTATATGCATACATTAATTTGCGTTTGTTGAAAAATGAAATGAAAGAATCTAAGTTATTACTTCAGAACTAGACACTTAAAATTTAAAAGTTATCATTTAAATCATTATATTTATATAAACAAACAATATTAGAAAAGGTAAAGAAAATTTTACTAGAATAAAATCCGCGGTATACTACCGCGGCCCTAAGCCTTAGTAGCGTAATGGTCAGTGCATCCGCCTGGATAGCGGAGGGTGTGGGTTCGAGTCCCGGCTGCTGCCTGGTCCGCGTGAAATTTTTTCTAGTAAAAAAATCTTTAGATGGAGACATCTTGCAGTTCAATACATAAAAAATAAAAATATAATTATTAGAAAAGATAACTAGAAAATTTTGAAGTAAAATATGAATCTTTTTAGAAAACCTGCAACAGTTATCTATCAGGCGTTAGATAAAACCTACTAACGGTATCGGATGGATGTAGCCAAAAGCGCTATTTTGCGCCTATTCCTAGATATTCATGAATTAAAGAGATTCAGAGGTTAATGGTTGCGCTAGTATGGCATTTTGAATTGACCGCGTAAAATTCATATAATCGCCCATCGCCTTATTTTAAATTTAATAGTTAAATTGGCACTTTACTCATTTCCTTTTCCCATCTCCCTCCTGCACATTCCTATCTCGCATGCAAGAGTGAGACGACGAATGTCCACTGGGGACATCTAGCGGGTGCTGTAGTTAACATCCTTCTTAGCAAATCCGCACCTTTTGTTAATGGCTGCCGTAAATCGCGCTCTTCGTAATTAATTCGTTTGATAAACAAAAACTATAGTTCGAGTGATTCTCATTGTGAAAATAGAAGTGCAAGACTACCCATTTGGTGTTACCCATAAGAATATCAACCGGCCACGAACCCAAGTTCGGTTTTGGATAGCCGGCTCGACACGTCCGCCTCAGGAGCTTCTGGACTGGCCGTTGATTCAAGGTATTGTGCAACCTTCCTTATTGATTTCGAACTATTTCCTTCAGTTCGAAATCTCCTTTCTTTGATTATTGTGCCAATTTTAAATTTACAGTCCATTATAAAAAACAAATATTTAGCATTAAAGTAAAGTTAAAAACCAGTTAAAGTAAAGTTCTTTGGCGCATTTAAATGATTATAAAATAATAGTAATTGATCTTTAGGTTATCAATTATATTTTTGGGGATAATTTTAAATATATACATTTTTTATTTTCAGAACTTTTTTTTAGTCTAAATAATAATAGCATCTCCAAACAATACAATGCCGTCCAAAGTTTAAAGAAGGCGTACTTCAGTCATACATGTAAAGATGTTTCGTTGCATACATATACTTGTACTATTCTTAAAGGCCTCATTTATAAAACTATATTTAAGTTTGAGTTCTCTTTACATTGGACAGTGCAAATAGTTTCTTTGTAACTTTAAGTTATGTCTAGATGTGAGAACCTGTTATTGACTCTTTGTCGCTACTATTAATTTTTAGTTTATTAAGATAAGCTGTTGGTCTTCCATGTTACCAAAATCATTAAAAAATACCTACCTACCTTTTTCGGAAACATTAGAAGGAAATATTTCTTGGAAGGACATGCTTAGTTAACAGCTAGAAATGGCAGATAATAGATCCTGATAGTAATATGAAACACGTGTAAGTTAGTTAGTGGTTTGCTTTTAGGTTTAAAAAAATAATTTTCTCGTGCGAACTTTTTCAGACAGTTCACTTAAAATGAGATACATTACATAATTTTTACATTGCATTTGATGGTAGAAATTGTTTGCCAACAAAAGTGCCAATCCGTGCACCGATTTCGAGAAGACGAGGAGACCACAACGTGGTCTTGAACCATACGTACCTTGACGGTAGTAAACAAATAAATATTTCCAACACTCACACCAAATAGCCTAGCCCCAAAGTAAGCACTGTAGGCTTGTGTTATGGGATACTAGCCTGGCTAGGGTAACGGACAGAATACATATGCTGATACATATATAAGTATATCTATATGGAAATGCATATTAAACAACCATGACTGGAGTACAAATGCTCGTAATTCATCACACGAACATCTACCCCCACCGGGATTCGAACCCGGGTCCTCTCGAGTAGGCGACACCTTGAAACCCGGCGTACAAACCACTCGATCACGGAGGACGGTAATAAACGATAGACGTGCTAGTGCTGTACAATATTTCAGCCCAAAATGCTAAATCTTGCAACTGAAAATTTGCCAATGATTGCCATAGTATTAGATAAAGATGATACGGCAATCAAGAAAAAGAAGAAGATTTTCTGTACATCCTATATGGCAAAAAAGAGAGAGGGAAGACGAATATCATACTGTTTAAAAAGAAAAAAAGAACTGTTAGACCATAAAACTCAGTTTTATACTTATTTCCGAATGACAAAAGAATATTTTGCAGTACTGGAAGAGAAGGTGTCTCCCTTTATAAAGAAAAAAGGTACAGTTAAGAAAAAAGCAAATTACTCTTCGCTAGCGACTAGCTGTGTGTTAAGGTATGATAATAACTAAAAAAATATTACTGATTAATTTATTATTATCATGCACGAATGTAGTATGTTTACTTATTTTCTTTATATTGTATTTATTTTTATTCATTGATTATATGCATACGTTAATTAAATGCCGTCACATAAGCAAGAATAATATAATTCGATCAGTTTTTGTCGTTCGTGATAGTTAGACAAATCATCACAACACTGCGGCGTCAGGACATGAATGCGCGGCAGGATCTTCACCCGTGACGATGTTTTTCCTCGTGCCGTTGCGTCCAATCCGTGTTTTCCGGCGCGTATATTTTATTGCTATATTTTCTTATGCAACGATGTCTAGAAATCGTCCCGTCCACGTCCCATCCCCTCCGGCAAGAGAAAAAACACGTCACGTATGCTGAGATCTTTACCTTACGGACACTTACTTCCGGAGAACAACACTCCTTTATAGTGTTAAGTACCTTTTATAATTTATTGGATAGTAAGATTCCATGGCTCCGCGGTGTAAGTAGTTGGGTACAAGCCGGCAAAGTGAGGATGGCTGGTGGGGCATACTTTTTATCCCATTTAGAATAAATAATGTTCGAGAGACTGAAGTCCACTTACACATGCCATCAATTATGTAATTTGCTATGCCTTGTTTAAAAATAACATTTATAGCGATTAACTTACGCATGTTGACCCCTGCTAATAAGTAAACTCAAGGATTTTTAACTGATGGCCCAGAATTATACGTACTCGTCGACGCAGTGTCCAGCTGTAGCAATCCAGCCTTCATTGATGATAGCTCCACCACATCTGTGTGTGGAGGAAAAGCCGAAGAAAGAGGTTCTTCTCACGGAGACCTGCCACGGCCACCGCCCAAAACTGGAGTCCTTGCCGCCCATGATGCGGGTCTCTGGTCGCGGCCACATTGCTGTCACCCCGCATTCTGGAATGTTGTAGACGAGCAAATTAATACAAGGCATGGTGCTAAACATGAATGCTGTAGGCTGTAGCTAATTCCCTATAGAAAAATAGTTGGGTATATCTTCTTGTTCAGAATTGAAAGATGTTTTGTCTTTTCCAAAAATAACCGGTTTTTTAGAATTCCACTTCGCAGTTTAATTTTAGGATCGAATTTAGACCGACTGGTTACATCATTTTTGAAAAAGATTTTTCTTTAAGCAGTGTCTAAATTCCAGAATCTCCTTGTAAACCAAATCATTCATCAATTTAGCAGTAGTTTAAACTACAGAGAATTTAAAGTAGAGAAAGTCCCCGGCTGATTTGTTAATGTCAGGTTAGTAGTACAAATATCACTAATCTCTAAACTTAATATAAATCATTTCATATAAAATACTTCCTATCATTTAGCCATGTAGACGATCCAATCTAACCACTAAGCTAACGTAGTATTGACTTTTTACGACTCGTCTTCAGAAGTTGCTAACAAGAAGTGTACAACATTAACAGATCCCAACAACAAGAACAAACGAAATCAAGAATACACCCTGCCCCAATCACGAGTGACCCAGTTCCCAATGAGTCAATAAAAAGGTCATTTCCCTTCCGCTGATTGGACATTTACGAATATTGCAAGTGCTTATACTTATCTGGTGGAATACTCCACTCAGCAGACGTCCCGAGATGCTTTGTTTAAAATAAATTGAGGTTTATTCTAATGCCCCTTCTTGATGAGGTCGAGATGTAATCTTCAGCAGATAAAGCGCTCTCATAAAACAAATTGTATGTTTTTATGGGACGAGAAAATATTTTTCGCTTCTTTTAATCCTTCTGCACGCGAGCGTGTATATATTGTAATCCTAACTTATATATTATTTTATAAATATGAAAGTTTTATGAATACGTGTTAATCTAAATAAGAAAAAAAGTGTGGTAACGAATTTGTATGAAATGACAAAGTTTATTACTCGCATTAATATAAAAGATAGCACTCTTTATGCTGGATAAATGTTAAAATCATTTGGGAGTATCAAAAAGCTAACTTAAAATTATTTACAACATCAATAGTAATTGTGTATATTGCATGTGGTAGTTTTCGAGGTCCATTGATAGATTTTCTAGCATTGACATCCCTAGTTAAAGTCCTCAAAGATTTTTTTTAATATTAAAGTCCACGCACTGTGGACAGTCGTGAGCAAAGTCAAGTGGGTTTAATATTTAAAACCTGAACATAATTAATAACTTATATCTAACATTCATTTGTTGTTCATGGTGGAATTATATATGGATTAGGTTTCGTCAATATGAATTGGCAAGTCATATTTAGCCCGACAAAATGTAATTCTAGAGTTGTACCAACGCGCTGAAAGATTATGAATACCTCCATTAACAAATGATTCCTCCTCAATATACTTTATATTCTCTATTGAAGTAAATTGTCTTTGTTCCATTTAACTAAAGGTAATTTTTCAAGTTCCCGAATCTGTAGATATGTATGTAATAAAACAAGGGGGGAAAATAGCATTTGTTCAATTCTTGTGACGCTGTTCCCAGTAAAAGAAAATTCTCATCGGAGATTTGTAAATGTCGTAGCTTTTTGACTTGTGCCTAGCGACAGCCTTTTATAGCTAAATTCTTATGTTCAGAATTGTATTGTGTCATTTTTGCTTTTATAAAATTTCTGTCCGGAAATATTTTTGAAGTGTATACTTCTTTAGCGGCGTTGTACACTTTTTTTGTACGGGTAAAACATGTTAAACTCGCTTCAGGACACGTCGCCTGATCGCGTCCAGAACACGTGACCTAATCGAAAATTCGTAAGACGAAAACAATAAAATTGGAAAGGTTGTTGACTTTCAATATATTGGAAGAAACATAGTAATAATAAATTTTATCGTATTATAATAATAAATCTCCATCTAGGACGTCCAGGTGGCAGCTTTATTGCGAAGAAAATGCATTTTTTTTATAATAGATGTCGCTAGGTGCACTTAAATGTGATTCATGTAAGTTGATTTTTCTGCGAGATAAACTTTTTAATGTAATATAAGTTTTCATGTTTGTGTACGATAGCGCAATAAATAAATATTGTATGCTACCACATATGTGATAGTACTTTTATACTGATAATTAAAGCAATTCATGCAAAAAAAAATCCCTAACCATTCCAAAATATCAAAAACGCACAACGTTAATATTCAAGTTTTCACTTCTGCCGGCACTCCTGGAGTGAAACCCGTCATTTTTTCAACAAAATGTACGTTCGGAGAAAAGATTAGATGTGGCACTTTTCCTTGAAATACCGCAAAGTTACAAAATGCTTTAGGAGACTGCGTCAACAAGTAAGAAATTTTTATACAAAATCTTACAGTTTTTCTGCCACACAGCTGTGCGCGTTGGCTTTGCTTTCAAGCCGTTTGGCACGTTTTGATAATGAACTTAGTAAGTATTCAGCAAATAAAAATAGCGTTCAGACCGCGCATAAAATCTTAATTAAAAGTCTAAGCTGTTTCAGATAAGTAGTAAATCACACTGCTGATCTTAACGTTTAACACACACACGTGGTAGAAACGCCACTCTTCCCTGAATTCTGAAAATATTAAATTGAAGGCTGATAACCTGTTGCTAATGTTACCGAAATATGTAATGATGTAATTACTAGAACTGATACCCATGACTTCATCTATATAGAATAATTGTTTTCCCATATTAACTGCCTTAATCCCCTAATGTACCCCATCTAATTTTGTTTACCACCAAGTGTGGTTTATTACCTTTTTTTGATGTTTTCTTCAGTTGCATACAAAAAATCATCATTAATTGGTTTAACGATTTTGGCACGAAAGCTTAACAGACAGGTAAATAGACACACAGAATTATCCTTTTTTTATTTTGCCACAGCAGCAATTTGTCTAATCTGCGCCTTAGCCTAGCCGGTACTACTAGGTAATTAATAATTAGTTGATTACTAATAGTATTTTTTTTTAATAATAAACTGATAGATTTATTTATGTCGAAAGAAAATTTTACTACCAAGATAAAAATCTAAACAGATTTTTTCCAGTACAGTTTGATTTAGTTTGTTTTTAGTATTTCTACTTACTCCTGCCGACACTATTGTAGTCTGAATCGGCGATAGTGTGAACTCCTCCATCTTGTTGACCAACACCATCGGCATCGGCTTCTTTGACTCCATGTAGTAGACTAGTAATCTTATGGGGCTTGATGGTCGTGGAGGTGAACTTCTTGGTGGACTTCAACTTACCCGCTGGCTTTTCCCATGTTTATTTTGTTCCCATACAACTTACCAACACTATTAGTAGCCGCTGTTGTCTGGATCGACGCTAGTGTGGAATCCTCCGTCTTGTTGACCATAACCATCGACATCGGCTCCTTCAGCTTCATGTAGTTCTTGTGCGGCTTGTTGGTCGTCGTCGTGAACTTCGTGGTGGGCTTGGAGTGGCCTGCTGGCTTCTCCCATGTTTATTTTGTTCCCATACAACTTACCAACACTATTATTAGCCGCTGTTGTCTGGATCGGCGCTAGTGTGGAATCCTCCGTCTTGTTGACCATAACCATCGACATCGGCTCCTTCGGCTTCATGTAGTTCTTGTGCGGCTTGTTGGTCGTCGTCGTGAACTTCGTGGTGGGCTTGGAGTGACCTGCTGGCTTCTCCCATGTTTATTTTGTTCTCATATAACTTACCAACACTGTTAGTAGCCGCTGTTGTCTGCATCGGCGCTGGTGTAGACTCCTCCGTCTTGTTGACCAACACCATCGACATCGGCTCCTTCGGCTTCATGTAGTTCTTGTGCGGCTTGTTGGTTGTGGTGGTGAATTTCTTGGTTGGCTTGGGCTTGCCCACTGGTTTCTCCCAGTTGGAAGGCCGCGGCTTGGTGATGAACGCTGGCTCTGTGGTCGCTTGCCAGTGTATCGTGTTTAGGTTGCTCGGCCTCGACATGAATTGCGCTGAAAACCATTGGAATAACTTTGGTTTTTACTAATGAAAATGGTTTGTATTGCTATAATGTAGGTGCTGTTACTAACATTATGGACTCGTATTTTCTGACATTAAATGATTTATTATTATCTTTCATAGTCGATATTATACTTACCTATACATGTATAGAAAAAAACATGCCTTTTTCACGTAATAGCAATTACCAGTACTACAGTAGGTAGGTACTACTAATGGACTAACATAGTCTATTTGTTCCTTGAACCAATCGTTAAATATTTCCAACACTCACACCAATCAGCCTAGTACCAAAGTAAGCACTGTAAGGCTTGTGTTATGGGATACTAGAGTAAGGATAGAATACATATACTGTACATATTTTATAAGTATATTTATATAGAAATATATATTAAACAACTGCAATTCAAATGCATTCATCAAACAAACAACTGCCCACTGCCCACTGGGATTCTAACCCGGGACCTCTCGAGTTGGCGACACAATGAAACTCGGCGTACAAACCACTTGGCCACGGAGGTCGAACACGTAAAGGTTTTTATTTATATATATGGTTGTAATTGTATTGTTTTAAAGTTCTATAAAAAAGTTCGGTACAGTATATATCTATCTTTTAATAGTGACCCACGTTATATTATTTCTTTTTTAGTGGTTTTGTTTTAATAAATTCGGGTTAGGTTTTTATTTTGGTAAAAAAGTTTTCATTTTAATTTTTTTATAGGCCAGAGTAAGATCAACTTACCAAGTACTTGGTACCTGGCCTGCATTTTCTGTTCCATATCTCTTAAAATAACCAAACACGAATTGAGTACAGTTTGTAACTGAAGAGTTCCATTGTTTGTAGTGTAAGTCAATATTTTTTCAGTTCGAGACCATATTTTTTTAAGAAAAATTATGATTTTTGTATGAAAATAAACACAACTTTTTTTATTATAACTAAACCCCATCGATTTCACTACTTTTTTTTGAGTACGAATTAACACTCATGGACATGCATCCCGTGTCTATTGCAGGGTGGGGACGGGGTCCACACAAAATCCCATAAGGTCATGGATTTAAAAACTTTGGTGCAACGAAATTTATAAGTGACAGCGATAATTCCTATTTAATAATTCTAATTTATGCGATTTCTATTAAATAAACTAGCAACTATTACAATAAAATATCAAAAGTGCCATCTGATTACAAAATATCAAAGCTGTACGTATCGTATGGCTTGGTTCAAGTGCCCGCATGCTTCGGAAGTAAATGGGCGAATAACGTTAGAGTTGTACAAGTTATTTGCTAGATGTCTCTAGTAGTCCCAATATCGTGTTCACTGAAATAAATTAAAATTATGATTTTTTTACTCACCTGAGGAAATACTATTTTCCGCGTGTTGTTCAGAGACGGCCATTGGCCGCGCGCCCGGTAATATACTAAGACTAGACGAAATCTTATTGTTGGGACTAGTTTCATCGCCACTCGGCCTATTTACATTTTGGTACTTATTTACACTGTTATAAGGTATTTTATTAACTATATCACTATTTTTTTCGCTACTCGAGTCTAAATTGTCTAATGTAGGTAAGTTTATTTCTGGCGGCCTATAGCTGTATGACGTGGGGGCGCCATCTATCGGCTTGGTCATGAACGACGGGCGCGGAGTTTGCCAGTTGGGCCGCGCTATGGTTTGTGTCGAGGCCTCGTAGGGCTTGTTTGTTGTGCTGTGCGCGCCGCTAGGTGGCGATGAGTACGGCCTCTCGGTGACTGTGACTGGAGGTTGTGTTTCTGAAAAATGAAAAACGTGTATTTTAATATTGTGACATGTTTGTTACTGTATTTATCAGAGGTACACAGAAAATAGATACGAAGTTTTAGCATTATTATAATATATTTATGTATACCTATAGCCTTCTGAGTGTGAGATAGACAGAGACAAAATTAAATCATCCCTATCTCTGTACCCGGAAACCATATTCACCTATAAAAACAACACATTTTAATTTTTCATTGCAATCTTCTATAATATCTTAGTTGCTTCCCGGGCATTCGATTCATCGAGGAGAATATTCACTGTGCACTATTCTCTCTTTTGTTAGCAGCTAGTGTATCTATGCCTTGATTAAAAAAAGGTAATCAGAATTTCCATGCACCTTATGGAATTTTATAAGAATTTCACACGGATGTTCTGTGCCACACAGACTCGCCCATAATGCCTAGATAAAACGTGTGTTATTTTTTGAGTTGTGAATCACTGAAAATTAAAACATCAGTTCAAATCGCGTAGTACTTATCTGGTATGCGAATTGAACTGATTTGGTTTCATACAATATTTTTACACGGCGGAACAAAATGAGTTGCTAGATAGTTACTAGTTAATATTTTCTTTGAAAGCAAACTACTTACGCGACTTGTTTACAATATTACATTGGCGATGCGCAACTCAAAAACAATGCTGTTTTGACCCTACCCTAATGGTAATTCCTACCTTATATACTTCTTCAACAACCTATGGCGCAATGTTCGAATTGCGATTGTGGAAGACAAGCCACTTTTCCTATGGTCGGTAAGAAGATGGGTGACAAAAATTGAGAGTCTCGAGCTCCTCCGCATTCTGGAAACCGTTGTCCCAGCTGCGCATGCAGTCGTTGGCCTATCTGCACTGGAGTCTTCGTCATATTTCATCCATAGGAAAGGTCTGTGCACCAGCTGTGTGTTGTTGATGATCCCTACCTTCTAGTTTGAACGGCTTCTCCGGCAGCATGCAGCAGGACCCGAACATGGATCTGTCGAGACACACGCCGACGCACGTCCCGTCCACCCAGCCGGTTATACTCCTGACCCACAAGCAGCGCGCAGCCCTGCCTCGCATGACTTGCGCGACATTTGTTATATAATCCATAGAGAATGCCATTAGGGACATTTGATGTTCATGATTCTACCTTCTAGTTTGAACGGCTTCTTCGGCAGCAAACTGCAAGGTCCGAACATAAATCGGTGAACATACACGCCAGCGTGCCACCCGCCCAGCCGGTTGTACTCCCGCCCGCGCTTCGGAAGGCAATCCATTTATAGGGAAGACTTGTGCACCAGCAGTTATGACATTTGCAAGCTGGTGGTGAAGATCCTTACCTTCTAGGTTGAACGGCTTCTCCGGCAGGAGGCAGCAGGATCCGAACATGAATCTGTCGACACACACGCCGGCGTGCCGTCCGCCCAGCCGGTTGCACTCCTGCACCCACAGGCAGGCGCCGCGCGCGCCCCCCGCCTCGCATGACTTGCGCGACATTTGGTAACCTGGCGAAGATAAGGTTTGATAAATATATTGAAATGAATTAAAAAAGAATTTTATACCATTGAACCAACTATCAAAACAGAATATAACTCCAGAGCCAGAATATTCAAAACATTATTTACATCACCTATAAGCAAAAGTAAGAATTAGATAAAAAATAATATTAAAAAAATAACAGTTGATAACAGTAATGTACAAATTCATTCGCTTTTTTCTCTTTATTGCCAAAAAAACGGTACAAATCGGGGACACTTGGACATAGTGTAAAATCTAATACAGATTTCACTGAGCTGCATAAATTAAATAACGTCAAATTTATTTGTCGGCGAATGGCAGTGTGAATTTTTAAATTATAATTTTCATGCACGCAATTGCATTCTCCTCCGGTGCTTAAAACCGTTTTTTCTCCATCTCTAATATTGTAGTCGGTAAAATGGCAAAATGTTAGAAAACAGAGCGTGACGGTATAATTTTAAGTATGAACGAATCTTGGAGAGTATTATTAGACTTTACTTGAATTACGTAGTGCTCTTAAGAAGTTCGTGATTTGTTGGTTTAGTAAGGTTGAAGAACTGGCGTATAAAATTTGATGAGCACTTCACTCCAGTGACACGAAAATCACTTTATCTGTATTTTCTTGATGAGGAAACTATTATTTATTTCCTCAATTCACTTACTATAACGGAAACAAAATTCAATTTAGACTTAAATCTATTTATCTAGAAAATCCATTTGATCGGATAGATGATAACGCGAGACTTATCAATTATACTGCTTTGAAAGATATTGCATAAAAAATGTTAAATTTTTCAATTACGAATGTTTAATTTGCTATAAAGAACGACAATATGTTTTATCTACATGATCTGTTTTGGCTTTTTTAAAAATTATTTTACAAAATACTTAAATCAAACTTAAGCTTAATTTCATCTTTATTTCAATTAAAGCAAATGATGAAGCGTTAGACATGATTAAGCCTAAATTTGGATTGTAAATTTTGGTGCATGTTCATAAATATACCTGAGGTTTAGAAAGCGATTCCATAGAATTGCATATAAATATAAGTTCCATAGAACTTAAATCTTATATTTATTTAATGTAATATTTTTCAACTTAACGACTCTGTAAATAATATAACACAGAGAGAAAAACAGTCCTTGCTGGGTTTCTTGCCGGTTTTTCTCAATAGTAGGGCCTTCCGCCGTAGATTTACAAACTAATGGCGTAGCTTCTAGACATTCATGAGTGCTTGTAACAGCCTAAACTGAATAAATGATTACGATTATACACAGAATATAGAAAGTATTCTCAATCCATCTGTTAGCAAGCTGTACCTCATGAACAGAGGCAGACAGTTAAAATGTTCACAGATTATTTGTTCTTTATGCAAAAAACTAGCACTTCGCCGTCCTAAAATACTCGAATAGAATATGATAGAAAAAATATGTGAACATTATTTTAACTATGTCATGATTAGAACTTAACGTTTCAATTTATTCTCATGAGAAGGAGGACCTATAGCAAGCAGTTTTATAATAACTCAAGTCACCCATCCCGTTATCGCCTAAAATCACCCCGCTTTTTACATACAATGTAAAACTAACAAAAATGAAACTGTACGAGTCCTCTAATAAACTTTCGTCAGAAACGTCAAAATAATTAGTAGCCATCCGACACGCAATGGTTTTAATATAGAACAAAGTGATTTTGTTGTTCTGAATCGTGTATTTTATTACCGAATGAATGTATATTAACATGTTATTATACTTTCAAATTAACTTTAATAACGATACTGTTGGTGATTTATGACACGAACAATTTACGGTCAGATAAGGAACACCGCGTTATTGTAGTTTGATTTTATTTGATCATATTATAAGTACTTTGATTGAGATTGCATTAGAAGTAATTAGAATTTTAGATTTAAATATAAATGATATAAATTACACAAACGTATAATTATGTAGCGATAATATTATTAGGTTAAGGTTGTGGCACAAATGACCGACAGGAGCCAATCTTCTACTTAGATCGTTCCTTTTTTTTGATCAATGAAAATACACGCACTCTGGGTCATGGTGATGGGATCGATAAACATGGTAACACCTAACGTCTGTAGCTCGATGTTACCATATTTAGTGACAAAATACCTACTCTTATATTTGTTTTTAATGATCACAGAGAGGAGTGTCGTTCAATGGTTCTTGTCGGTCATGCAACTAATGTAGTTTATCTATTATCGAAGTGAAATTTTTTTTCAGACGGGTAGTGAATGGAAAAGTCCCGTGGAAAGATGCAACGGAAATGCCAGAAGCGTTACACGCGACAATTTATTTATATACATTACAAAATTTATTTATTTATGAGTGATGCGAGCGCTACTCCATTTCCCTATGCCTCATGCACCGCCTAATGATAAGTTATCTAAGAAAAGAAGTTTTTACTTCAGATGTGTGGCCCGTGCACACATTTATTTTTATTTTACAAAATCTTCATAAAAATGGAAATTACAGTTAAACTAGTTCTATTTTAAATGCTGGGGTATGGTTATTTGATTTTGAATACATAATTAAATAAAAGCTAAATTATTTTCCAACTTAAAAATGATTTCTCTCAACAACTCTTCTTAAAAATAATCATATTTTCATAAATTTTATTCCAAAGAAAAAAAGGTAAGTAATTTGACTATTTAGTCAATTCTTGGTGCTTAGTGGACAGAAGGAATCTTATCATAACTTAAGCAAATATCACTAACAAAGGAGCCTTACGATAAAGCTGCCTACAATCTATTGGAAATAATATGACCAATGAAGCAAAATTATCGAAATTCAGCTGCCAATGAAACCAAGTCCTATCAAAATTCCGGTTTTAAGATTCTCTGTCACTGCTTTAATGATAATGCTTTTACAATGAACACTATCCGAACCAATGGCGTAGCTTTATCATTGAAGTTCTTGTTACAATAAGAACATTTAATGAAATATATTTGACTTAACTGTATTTGAAGTTGATAATGATGCTCAGTGTTTTTATTGACCTAAACAATATATCTTTCTATCTATATATATAAAACTCAAAGGTGACTGACTGACTGACATAGTGATCTATCAACGCACTGCCCAAACCACTGGACGGATCGGGCTGAAATTTGGCATGCAAGTAGTTGTTATGACGTAGGCATCCGGTAAGAAAGGATTTTGATCAATTCTACCCCCAAGGGGATAAAATAGGCAATGAAAGTTTGTATGAAACTTGTTAATTTTAAACGGAACGGGCTGAGACTTTGCATGCAGGTATAAGAATTCAGGTAAAAGAGTCGTTGTGTATAATACAAGCCTGAGAACAAAAACTGTAGTCTACACTTCAGCTCTACACCGAAGCGAAGCGAGGGCGGGCCGCTAGTAATTTATATAAAGCTTATTAGAGTTATTTAAATTAAAAAATTATATCGCTAACACTGAGTCAAAAAACTATTTGTCTTTTAAATTTAAGAAAGATTAATTAACTATTCTTAGTTTGTTACGTGTAAAGTTTTACATACTTCAAAAGTACCTACCTATTTGAATTCAATACAGACTGGTTTGAGATTTCAAACAAACATCTTTATCCTTTAAAGTGTACGCCGCATAAACTGTTCTTCGAGTAACAGTCGAGTCTTTAGTGTATTTATAAGTCAAGCGTAAGGAAGGAGGAGACCAGACAATAAATTTGTAGCGGCAAGCCCGGGAACGCCTGGAGCTAATGCCTCGATACATCTGGTATATTACTTCCTTTCTGCTTTGGCTCGGATTGGAAGAGTTTATTATGAAATATTGACTTATATGACATGTTACTTTAAATAGGAATAGCTTCACTTCAATAAAATATATAGAGGACTATCGATATATTTATTAATGTGCACATTAAGAATCTTTCTGCATATGATTGCAAAGAAGTTTACGAAAAACATTAAATTTAAATTAATATTCTTTTGCTCTATACGATACGTAATTCAAGTTTTTTTTATTGCTCATCATTTAGGACGCACGGCAAAAGTAAAAAGAACAATCAAACTAAAGTTAATGACATGTCTAAAGTGCTTTAAACTTTATTGAACTAGTAATATAATATCGAAGTTGATGTATTTTAATATTCAGTATTGCTTAAATAAAACGAGCGAGCTTTACAGTAGTCGCGTATGATCGCGACCTTATATTAGTAAAAAAAGAAATAAAACCTACTTCAAAAGGAATAATACATTTGAACATTATGTTCTAAAATCAAATCAAATTATGCGCGCTTTTGCGACTTCCTGTTACACACTTCCATCCCATTTCACGAAATCACTCCCACAGATTGCAGGAAAGCGAGAGGAAAGATGTTACACATCAAAATCAAAGAAAGGAATATTTTAAATAACAATTTCTGTTTAGAATTTTATATAGAGTCAGTCGATTGTGAAGTTAAGGAAGTGTTGACCACTGGGTCACTTGGCCACAGGAAAGTCGCGTACTCGCCCTGAAACGTTTCAGTGGGCAAAATCAGCAGAGGAACTGTGAATGTCTATCTAACTGTGAACGTTTGAAATTGATTTACTTCTAGGTGTTTTGTGTGAAATTGCTATTGTGAAGCACGAAAATGCCATCACAATTGCATGCCAATTTGTGTGGTCACGCCAATCGCTCCACGTGTTGGCGATCTAAAAAGTCTTGGACTGATTTTGTCCCTTGCAGTTTTGTGTACTTCATTAGCTATATACCTTTACATGGTTAAATTATTTGATACTCCACCAAATTATATACATATGTCATTGAAAAATTATAAAAACAATGAAGTTGGACTATGTGTGATAGTAAATTTTTGGAGTAAGGAGCTTACACAAAGTATAAATTCTTCCATTATATTAAAACTGCAGGTGGTTAAGCCTATCAGACAGCAGAACAACAAACAAACGATAAACCAGCGCTCATTCCGGATCCGTGTCGATCTGATTTGCGGCCACACCATTAAACAGCAATAACAA